GAATTATATTACTAAAATATTAAATAAAGTAAAATACTTAAATAAATTAAATACATAATATTAAAAATATTATAAAATATACCTTAAAAAGAAAGAGTATTTGAGAGAATTTGAGAGAATTTGGTGTGATAAAAGTGATTGAAGATGGGGGTATTTATAGGGAGGATTGGGATGTGGACGGGCGGGTATTTAGGGGTATAGCGCGCCCCCTGCACCGCGTTATACCCCACGTGTCAGATAACCAGGTATAGCGTGGATCAGGGGGCACACTTTACCCACGTGGCGCAAAATCAGCGTATAGCGCGGTACAGAGGGCACGCTTTACTGCTACGGGTGTTAGATCGGGAAATATAATTTGACCGGTGTTAGATCGGTAAATATACCGATCACCGGTGATTTTTTGAGAAAAACACCCCACACTTGTCCCTTTCATGTATTTAAAGATTTAAAGATTTCATATTATGGCGGCGAGTCTATTAAGACATGATCAAAGTCATGTATTCGATTATTAGAGGCGAAATGATGAGGCAAATTAATTAATATTATTTTATATATTTACTATTTATTTATTTAATGATCTAATTTATTTGTTTGGGTATTTAAATAATTTTTAATAATTATATTTTGTAGGGGTACGAAATGTCTTAGAGTATCATATAAATCATGTGACATCGCCCTCTATATATATTATTGATTATTTACATTTAGTAGGTTTCGGATATATCAATAGTATAAATGGTGACAGTGTGAACTTGCATCCTTCACTTATAAATGCGTTGGTGTAAAGATGGAGACTGGGGACGCACACGTTTCATTTACCATGTGGGGAGGCAACTATTACCCTGCAAAATGTTGCATTTCATATGTGATTGCCTATTGATTGAGCCCCTAAAAACATGGTATTGTTCAAAATTGAAACGCCTAATGATGCACGTGATGGTGGGAAAATAAAAATTTTGGATGAAAATTTTTCAAACAGACCCCAGAATGCGGAGCATGAAGTGAAAGAGATAAATGTAAATGTTTTTATCTATAAATATTTATTAATATTTCAATTTATTTATTTAATTTTTTGAAAATTAAGTAGTTATATTATTTTATTAATTTTCTGAAGCGATATGCTCTTTCGCATATATTACAAGTTATTGGGGGATTTTAATGCTAGACAAATCCCGAAATAAGATGCATCTGATGTGGTTGAATCATTTGAAAAATTTGAGTGATTCAAGAAATATAAGTTAAGGGTCGAAAATTTTGGCATTTTTGTTTCGGTAGCTTTGTAGAGTTGTAGATCTGACGAAAAATATCATTAGAGGGTGTTTATTGTTGCTGCAGTCGTGGGCCTGGATCCGAATACCATTTTTATGCCCGATCATTAAAACACATATCTCATATGAATTTCCGTTACTTAAGAGGTAAAAAATATTTTTTATCTATTTTTATAATATTACTAACAAATAATAAAATTCTATTGTATTAATGATAGGTGGATGGATGAAACCTCTCACGCCTACTTACCAACACATCAACGAGACTTCAGACTCTTGATCGATAAGTTTGGACATCATGTAATAAAATATTTTTCTTCGATTTTTATCTTATAGTTTTAGAATAATTTAATATATTTGAGATTGTTAGCTAACAAAGTTTGTAATTTTAATTTGATAGTTCTTGTGGACGACTTAATGTGATGTTGCTATTACCGACTATATATCGCATGAGATTCAGGTGACTAATGCGCTTGTGTACATCGTGTCAGTCCCGCTGATCTTGTATGAGATAGTCGAGTAGCATCCTACCAAGCGTATCCTTCGAAAATTTAATTGTGTCCAATTGATTTCGCTGTATCAACCTTGCTTGGATGAGTTGCATCGATTGATGCGATAAGGGAAGAAAGAAATTAATTAGGCGTACCATAATGCAGTGTATCTGAATGAGTGGGTCCGAAGATTCGAGAGGACGCCCATGACTCAACCCATCTTCGACCACAACGTAGTATAAAATTATATGATATGGTACTAAGAATATGGGATGATACATAATTGACCGATGAGGAGCGAACGCGTGAATTATATGTTCCTCCACAGAGTCGTCCACGGATGGGGAGGCAACGTGGGGGGAGTCAAGGCAAAGAAGATGAAGACAACAAGGTGCATCATCCTCATCGGTAACAACATAAGGACCTTTTCAGAAACCACTGACATAACATGACCCTGTCTTTACCCTCTCGACTCAATCATCATTTCAGCAAATAGAGCAGTTCTCGAAAGGTTTCCTCATCGACCTCTTTGACCAGTTAAATTCACCACTGACATAATTTGCGGCTAACTTTGGATCTTGTATTGTTGAGTAGACGTCGCCGCAGAGCATATTCTACATCGGTCCTGGTTCCAGTGCCAGTGGTGGACCGATTCCATATACAACTGTCGGTCCTGATGATGATGATGATGCAGAAAAGGAAAAGAAACCATAATTACGTATGTATTGTTTCGTAAATTTCGCATTCTTCGTCAAACTAACAATGTTTATAAAAGACATTCTCTTCGAGTGACTTCCTTTGCAACTTATCTTTTCTACGGTATATTTGTAAAGTCGATTAAACATGAGTAATCCGACCTTCTTGGAAAAATCTACGAAGGCATCATCTTCTTCACGCTCGTGACGCTAATTTGACAAATGGCATACCGTCACTCATCTTATCGCTCGAGAAACTAATCGTTTCTAAGAAGACATTCTCTTTAGGTGGCTCCATCAACTTATCACTCATGATGTGGATCTAGCAGTAGTGGTTATGGCTTCCAAATTCCATATTTATCCCCAATCCACTCTCCATCAAAACCCACGATGTTTCTAAGAAGGCATCATCTTCCGATGACATCCTTTACGTAGGATATTAAACCCACAGATAGTACACCTCCACTCGTTTGCTCAAACTTATTGTGTTTTTTCACTGTACTACTTTTATTTCGAACAATTTTCAACATGATTATTACACTGCTTAAAATGTCTCGTATGTGCCGAAATTAGCCATGTCTATCAAGCTATTTTAGCTTATCCTGTATGCACAAAACCAAACATTGGATCCATTTTGAACGTGATTTTGTATATTCTCATTCTTGCATAAAACAAGCTTTGGTACCATTTTCAACTCAATTTTTAATCTGCCTATAATATCTTGTATGTCTTTATATTAGCCTTAACTGAAAGATAAATTCCAATACCACACGAAGAATCTTATAAATTACAAAAAAATTTGAGATTAAATACCCGAACATGCCTATAAGCACTTGTGGTTTGCTAGAAAAAAATAAATACCTTGCTTTTAGGAAAAACACGAGTTATGTTGAATACTTCTCGCGATAAATTTCTTGAGACAATTCAATATCTTGGGGACCTAGCATTATGGGAAACGCGGGGTACTAAATAATCATATTAAATTGGGTAATTAATCTCAAATTAATTAACGAGGGGTTTAATATAATAACACCTAATATTTTGGTACTTCATAGGTAAAATTTACTTTAACATTCATATATAACTATTTTAGAAATTTAATAAATATTTAACAATATTTTCATAATGATCATTCTTATGATATAATATCATTTTAATAATAATATGTTAGGTATGATTTCAAAAAATTAAAAGTTTAGGTATTAAAACATACCAAATTTGATAATTTAGGTATTGAAAGCGTTAAGTTTTTTAAGATATGATATTAAAATGAAAAAAATATTAGGTAAGATTTTAAAAAAATTTGAAAATTTAGGTACTAAAACAGACCGAAATTGAAATTGATAATTTAGATACTAAACATATAAATTGCCCTTATTATTTTAAAGCATAATACTATTATTCATCTGTTGTTTTGATTAAATAGATTTGTTTGGTTTGACAATCGTTTGGTTTCATAATATCATAAAAAATTGATAGATTTTTTAAATATAAAAATTAAATTTATTCAATTATTTCTATTTAAACAATTTAATAGAATATATGTATTAAAGATTAAAATTATTAATATATCAAACCAACACACTAAACGTTTTTATTTTTAACAATGGAATATTTTATTTTTAATAATATTTAGTTGACATGTTTGTAATTTTTAGAAGAAAATTTTGTATACTTTTAAATCTTCAAATATTCATCAAAGATATAAGATAAATTTGTTCAAAACATTATCCGAATCAACTGAATTTGGATCTTTGTGGTGTTATTCTACCCAAAAAAAAATGGGTAAAGTATAAAAATAATCCTTTGACTATAAGATATTGCTCTATTAAGTCACTCGGCTATTAAAAGTTATAAAATAATCATTCGACTATAGAATAATATTTTGTTAAGTCTCTTGACTATTATAAGTCACAAAATGGTTACCCGACTATTCACTATGTTTCAAACTCATCATTTTTTTGTTAAAAAATGACGATTGTTTAAGTCGGGCGTTACCATGATAACTGATATATGATAGTCATTTGAGATTCTGGAATCAGATTTTATCATATCACAATCAACATGTTAACTTTCAAATTATAATATCATCCATTTTAACAAAAAATGACGAGTTTGGAACTTAATGAATAATCGGATGACCATTTTGTACCTTTTAATAGTAAGGACACTCAACAAAGAAACATTCTACAATCAGAGGACCATTTTATAACTTTTAACAGTAGAGTGAATTAATAAAGCAATACCCTATAGTCAAGGGACCATTTGTGTAATTTGTGTACTTTACCCAGAAAAATTGTCTTTGAGGTTGAAACTCAGGATGGTAGAAGAAGAGTCAAAATCAGAAGGTAAAGCCGAGTACATGTATGGAGGAAGAGAGTGAAAGTTCAACTTGGCTATTATGAAGATGGAGATCAAAAGAGAGGGTGGATCATCAACAACCACCTTATCATTCCTCGGCTGACCCTACCAATGTCTACTAAACACCAATGCATACATCTAAATCGAATTCATTTCAAGTTTCTAAGTACCAGACAATGATTACCATGAATACAACAACCAGAGCAACCAAAAAAGAACCCGCTCAAGACTCAAACTTTGGCATTCCTAATGAAGTCGATGCAGGTTTGGCAATTGCAGTCACTGAAACGGCAAGTTTCACACCCAAAGCACACGCAGGAAGTACACCCCTTGCACGTCGGACAACGGGGGCAGCCCCTGTATACCCTTCGACTTGCTCGCTCCTCGTCGACTTCGCATGTTATTCTGAAATGTGAAAATTTAGTTGAGTACAAGCCAGAGTGTATGTTGCCAACTTGCCATAACATATAGCACATGATGAGAGTACAAGTCCGGTACATATAACATATGTGTTGTGAGATACAACATTGATATGCCATGTTCATGCCTCCCTAGGTAGCCTATATTGAGCTATACAGCACATGAAATGCTTTCATGATAGAGAATCAATAAAAAAAAGGGTCATGGAATGATCTTTTGGATTTAGAGAAGTCATATAGTTCAATATACAAATCCAATTAGAGATCAAGAAGTGTTTTTGTTACCACATGCATTATGCCTACAAATGCAGTTTTATCATATAAGAACATAATCAACAATGGGGAGACACACCTGTCATATTGAAGATCAGAGCATTTCCAGTTCACATCTGCTAAAGCATCATGGTGAATCCTGCATTCCTCTTTCGTCCGCAATCGAAATCTTCTCTCCTTGTTACACCCGCTGCAGCGAACGAACTCATCTCGATGACAGACTCTTCCATTACGGGATTTATGGAAACCGTTGGCACTTTTTGATGCTTGATTGTAGTATTTCAGAAATGCAGTCTTTGACAGTGAAACCTTCTCCCCATTAACCATCAGCCAAACATTATTTTTCCACTTTCTAGCTGTCTCTCTCCCGGAATGCTTCTCAAATGCAGCAGGACTCAACTTGTCTGGTCATTGTAATCAGCATCCACACAAGAGGAAAAGGGCTTTAACATTTGGTAGGGAAGTAAAAATGCCTGAACATTGGATGGCTCTATAATTCTATTAAACAGTAAAGGCAGAGATCACAGTACACTACATACAGCTACAGCCAGTTTGAGTTAACTGATGCTGAAAAAGCTGGACTCGTGCATTTGAGTTAAAACTTTCGTTAGCTTAAAGGTATGTTTTTTTCTCAAACATTTACACTTGCAGTCAATACTTGGAACCGGTTATAATTTACAATGGCATGATATTGGAACAGAACAACATGTGCATGAACATGAACATCTTGTTGTGGTACAAACCAAGGAAAAAATCAGTTCACTGTGACAAAACAACATAAACAAACTGCAAGACAAAAACCAAAACCAAAGGACTCAAGCTATTAGAAAAAAACTCGATTAAATGAGAGAAAGCGACAGCCATCAACGTCAAATGCACCGTAGTTTGAACAAAACTTGTTTACAAAACTTGGCATTAAACACGCACAAGAATCAAAACCCATTTCCCAGAAGAATCAAAGGGAAGAAAGAAACGAAGGAAGAAGAAAAAGGAGAAACCTTCATTGCATCCAGGGGTGCATTCGCATGCGATTTCAAGGCGACCATTGGAGAAAACCCTAAGCTTGCCAACGGCATCGCCATACCTATGGCTGGTACACCCGCATGTCACTTCTACAAAGTCCCCTCCTTTCTTCAATCCACTTACCTCCCTCAACTCCTCATCGCTGAACATCATCGATCCACTTTCTTTCTCTACAACATTCTCCATTTCTCTCTCTCTATATAACAAAAATTCCGCCGCTTCAAAGCGCACTGTTTCTTAAAAATAACCCCAGAAACTTCCAAGAAGAGAAAAATGGATGATATGAATATCGTTGAAGAGAGGAGGAGAATTTATAAGAATAAGAGGACTAAAAAGAAATGAAAAGGTTAGGAATAACAGGCACCTTTATGGGGTTTACTGGTGGAGAATAAGTTGTAGAGAGAGAGCGATGAGTTGGCAAACGAAACAAATACCATGGGTTGAAGGAGAGAGTAAGAGTAAAATTGTGCTACTCGCTTAACATTACCGAAAAAGAAGATACCTTTGGGGCAAGCGCACCTTGGTTAATGGGAAAATATTTTTGTTCGTTCTAAAGGATAAATTATACCGTTTTTCACTAGACTTTATTCTTTATCTTATTTTATTTACCGTATTTTCAATATTTTTAATTAGCTCACTAAAATTTACAGATTGAATCATTTTGTTTATTCCTATGTAATTTCTAACGTTGTGATGAAGTGTTATTTTTTATTATTATTTAATATAAAATAATTGAAAATATAAAGAGTAAATTATACCATTTCTCACTGAACTTTAGTCTCTCTCTTATTTTACTCACTCAATTACAAAAAGTGGGGAAAGAATATGATTCAAAGCGACGTCGTTTTGATACTTGTGCCATGTCATAACATCGTTAAAAGTTAACGATTGAGTGAGCAAAATGATTCAATCTGTAAAGTTCAGTGTGCTAATTAGAAAAAATGAAAGTATGTTGATTAAAATAAGAGAGAGAGTAAAGTTTAGTGAAGAATAGTGCCATTTACCATGTTTCTAAATTCTATTAAAAATTGTATTTTTAATTAAAATTTTAAATATATCTAATGTCTTTCGTATAATATTTTTATTTAATTGTATTTAAGGTTTTTTTATTATTAAGATGAGATGATTATGAAGTAGTATATGTTTTAAATACTCACAATCGTTTGACAATGAATGCTCAATCACCATGCTACAATTACTGGTGCTCGAACTCATGATCTTTAGGAATAACAATAATTTTTTAAGATAATTTGATTCGGACTTAGGTTTAAGATTAGAAATTCCACATGACAGGCTAAGAATGAGCATAAAAGACAATTACTCCATATGACAAATACCAAAATGCAATCCATCATTCAATCAGTTCATGGGCGTCAATTCTACGTCAAATTCATGAATGTAATGCCATCTCATGACAAAATATGTTAGGTTGGTCACAGAGAAACTTTACAGAAAATGCCATTAATGTCAAACGTGAATTATGGAAAAACGAGGGATTAAAGGATCCATTGAACCACTAACTTTGACTGAATCGTCATGCCCATTGCATAATGGGAAAAAAGGGTTTTTTTACCGAGTCAAACTCACTGACGTGTCTGAAAATAATGCATATGAAAACAAATTTAAATTAGGTTCATATCACGTAACGTTATCAACATATTACATCGATCATGCTGCTGATTACAATGATTGCTAACTTTTATTTTGTTCTTTTGGAGCAGCCGATCCATACGAAATCGGCGCCACGCTTTAGCACAACCTGTCCCTCACTTTCGGCACATGGGAAAACGGCTTGGGGACTACCTAGTTGTGGTCGACACAGCTACAGCGTTCGCCCGCGACGTCAAAAGAGCAAACTCATCACGACCCATCATCACACAAAAACATCGTGATTATGACATCGATATCATCCTCTTTAAACATGGTACTTAATTTATAAAACGTCGTAATTAAAATTAATCAAATGATGATATGTAATGATATAATGAGAGGCGTACAACTTAGGACCACTCGAAGGTTATGTTGGATGGTTGTTGGTCTACCATTTTGATAGGTTCATACCCGAACTCTCTAGCACCATATTCGTTTGACATTTTCATAAGTACTTGGGCGAATATTTGGCGGCCACCAACCGGAGCTTTGCTGTGTCTTACTCTTACATTGAGCTAACCTTTTCGAAGAGTCCAATGGGAAGGTCGAATGTTGGAGCCACTCAAATCGCAGGGACAGGACTCCCGATGGTGCCCAATTTGATGATGGGTTGCTAAAGTAGACTTTGATAAATATTTGTTCCAACCTCAATTTGTGTCTGAAACCACATTTAATCTATAATTTCAGGCCTGATAGTCCAAACCCCAAAATTGTGGGTATCTTTTAGGTCACCAATATGATCATAACTTGGAATGCTATATTCTCATTCATGCATTTCATTGTGGTTCTCCATGGGAGGACATATGATAATATATATATATATATATATATATATATATATATATATATATATATATATATATATATATATATATATATATTATATATATATATTGCTACACAATGTAAAACTCTTTTAGTTTTACATTAATTTAAGACAGTTGGATGAGAGAAAATATATGAATGAGATTAACCATAAGACATGAGAAGATATTCACTGAAAAAAACGAGTCAGTCTCAGCCGTCTATTTTAACTCATCAAATTATCCTAAATCAACATAAAACTAAAATAGTTTTACATTGTGTAACATAATCCTAACACTCAGGGATGGGCCGAGGGGGAACTGAAAATTTAATATTGTTATATATTTTAGATTTTTTTATATATTTTCTATTAAAAATCTATTTTCGCCCCCTCGAATTTTAGTTTATTCTCCCCAAGTTTAAGTTTGTCCCCCTAACATAAAATCATATGATTTTATTATATTTTGTTGTGCTCAAATTTATCAGAGATGTTTAACTTATAAAGTGATTTTAGTGTTGAAAAAATATTAATTTCTATTTCAAACTATATCTCTATGAGAATATTTTTCCAAAACTTATTTATTTATAGAGCAAACTATGCTTATACAGCTAGTTTTATCATAATTCACTAAATAGTTTTTTAAATAATGGGTCTTCGTAATTATTATTCATATTCACCATCTATTTAGAAAAGAAACTATTGTTTGGTGAGTAGGTCGATAGTTGTTGAGAACTGCAATTCACGCGCATTAAGTTTATTTTTTAATTAATTAATTATTATTTCCATATCCTTCCGTCAGTTCTGTGGGTCATTTTCGTTTCAAAGTAAGCGTTTTTCTACCTCTCTTCCTTTTGAACTCTCTTGTATTTCAAGCATCCAATAACTTAGATGTCTCTCTTTGTAAAATATCATTATTTTCTGGGTTTGGTTGATGAATAGATCTGGGGGCAACATAGCATCAAAAAGCTGAGCTTTATTCACTGCTTGCTAAATTTAACTGCTTTATACATATTTTCCCCTGCAATTGTTTGTGTCGGTCACTGTTTTCCTGCTGAATTTATTTGCTCTGTTATTTTTCCCAGTTGTTCAAGCCCGTGTTTTCACTATTGATAGTGTCAAAGTAATGATCTTTTTGCTTGGAACCTTGTTTTCGAAGAGAACTTGGTTTCAGAATAAATGTTCCCTATACTATTAACAAGGCGGTTTGGTACTCTTTCCGGTCCTCCCTGCATCTTTTTGGTCCCATTTGCTAATAATATTGGGGGATTTTTTTTTATTGATTCATCAACTTTATCGGGTTCTTTAGCTTGATCTATAGGCTAGGAAAGTTTGGTTTTTTTTAACCGACAATGAGAAAGCTTTATAGGAAACTTGTGTTGATACAAAATCCATTGACGAGTGTGAGAAAAAATGTCAATTCTCATTCTGGAAGGGTGTTTAGTGATAGAAAATGGATTATCCCATTTCTTGCAAGCTTACTTGTATCGATTACTTTGTTTTTCTCTGCCATTTTTTGGTTGTACAAATACAATGCTCCTTACAGTGGAGATCAGTTGCCATTCGACAGTATTTCCTTTGCTAGAGCAGAGGACTCTAGTGGGTATTTTGTAGAATCGGATTTGGAGAAATCGTTTAACACGAGTGGATATGCAAACATGGAAGCACCTAGACTTGCATATCTTATTTCGGGGACGAAGGGTGATAGTCATAGGATGATGAGGACCTTGCAGGCAGTGTATCACCCCAGGAATCAGTATTTTCTGCATTTGGATCTCGAGGCTCCTCCCCGCGAAAGGCTGGAATTGAGTAATATGGTAAAGATCGATCCGACTTTTCGCGAAGTCGAGAATGTGCGCGTGATGGCGCAATCGAACTTGGTAACATACAAAGGTCCCACCATGATTGCCTGTACCCTTCAAGCAATTGCAATACTCTTGAAGGAGAGCTTGGAGTGGGATTGGTTTCTAAACCTGAGTGCCTCTGATTATCCCCTTGTGACTCAAGATGGTTAGTGCTAAGACTTGTTTAACTTTTCGCTATTGAGGTTGTTCCTTGTTATTATTGTATAAAGGGTTTAGAGAACAATGCCATTTTTGTAGTATTAATTTTAACTCTAATTTGACTGTGAACTCTGCTTGCTACCAGTTTACCACCTAATTTTATTGGACTTACTCGAGTTCTTTATAGCGTTTGAACAAAATTACATGCTTGCTACCTTCTCGAGCTTCTTTCATTCTTCTGTGAGACCTTTTGAGCTTAAGGTCTAGATTGTGAAAAGGATTTGAAAGAGAGTGGATGGTTATAGCTTGCATTTGTTGTTGTGGAGTGCTTTCTGAAACGGTCAGCTAATATGTGTTCTGATTGTGCAGATTTGCTGCATGTTTTCTCCAACTTGTCAAGAGATCTCAATTTCATTGAACATACACAGATTGCTGGTTGGAAGCTGTAAGACCTAGTGTGCATGATACTCTTGAAATATCCCTTTCCTTATACCTTAATGCCATCCGCTTTACATGTGTATTTATGTGCTTCTGCAGGAGCTCGAGAGGAAAACCAATCATTGTTGATCCAGGCCTTTACTTGTCTAAAAAGTCTGACATTGCTTGGACCACTCAACGCCGATCCCTGCCTACATCTTTCAAATTGTATACAGGTTGGTTTTTATCCTTCTTCCCTCTTCCTTATCTTGAGCACATCATTTCTGTATTAGTTTCTCAAATCATAGGTAGATTGCTTGCTCATCACCACTTTGATTTATGTCAACCGCGTTATCTTGAAATCTCAAGTGGTGCCCTATAGTCATGAACTGATATAATATTAGCATACTAGTGTGCCAAATAAGGATAACAACTACAAAGACTTGTAAGAGTCATAATTTCCTGCAATGTCCCAGAATTCTTCTCTAGTGTTAGAAGCTTCTGAATAATCAAATATTGTCTTAGGGTTCCCATAAGCTCGCTAGTTATGTTTCTTGGGGATTCTGAATGCCGGCTTCTAAGATCAGTTTCGTTTTTGCCTTTGTGGCCTGTTGTATGAGATTTCCTCGTCTCTATGAATGAATGAAAAAAATGTATAGTTGTTGCTTTGCTTTGCCTGATCTGCAGGTTCTGCATGGGTAGCGCTTACCAGAACTTTTGTTGAGTATTGTATATGGGGGTGGGATAACCACCCACGGACCATCCTTATGTACTATACAAATTTCGTTTCCTCTCCCGAAGGCTATTTCCATACCGTTATTTGCAACACCGACGAGTTTCGTGGCACTGCAATAAGTCATGATCTCCACTACATTGCTTGGGACACTCCTCCAAAGCAACACCCAAAATCCTTGTCAATGAAAGACTTCGATAAAATGGTGAAAAGCAACGCTCCCTTTGCCCGGAAGTTCCATAAGAACGATCCAGTGTTGGATAAAATTGATAAAGAGCTTTTGGGCCGTACTGACCGATTTGCTCCTGGAGCTTGGTGTATCGGGAGTTCAGAGGGTGGAGCTGACCCATGTTCCGTACGCGGCAATGATTCTGTGTTTGCACCAGGCCCTGGTGCCGAGAGGCTGCAAGACCTGGTAAAAGGTCTGCTATCCGAAGATTTTCGGAAAAAGCAGTGTTCATGATAGTTGTGAAGTGTTGGAGAATTCCAAGTGCAAATAACTGTATTCATACTTTATTAATCACATATCTATAAAGAATCAATTTTCACAGAATTGTAAAAATGACAAACTTAAATCGAAGTTACCAACTATGAGCATTGTTTTCTCTGTGTTCTTAATTATGTTTGATGAAAATTGTTAACAAGATAATAAAAACGAGAACGACACCAACAACAATGGAAACGCAACCCCATTTCCTCGAGCTTTTCTGATATTCCTTAGCTACCTCCAGCTGCTCGGCCCCTTCATGACAAACGAACTGGCACGAGCAACATGGCTCTCGATTTCATTCAGTTGGTGGCCCTGTGCCTCCACTAGGACCGCCGTGTCTAGGAATAGTTGATGAAGCTCGATCAACCCCTTTACGATTTCCTGCATGGCATCGTGCCTCTCTTGTATCTCTGAAATTGTATCCAGAATCTGCCCCCGCCCTTGTTCTTGAATTGCCTGTTGCAAGAGCGTTTCACTTTCTCTTCTTTCGATCAGTTTTTCGATCATTTCTTCATCTGCTTTCTGTCCAGTTACTGTAAAGTATCCTCTCTCTACGGTTTCTTTATATTCTGCTGTCATTTTTGCTCTTAAACCCTGAAAATCATCCATCATATCCTTTAGTTTACTGCCTCAGCCACTAACAACAGACGTCCTAGTTCGGTAAGCCGATGATCCAGGACCGCAGCCCGGAAGTTTCTGATGTGCTGCATTTGATTTTTCAAGTGCTTCAAGTTTTCCCTTTATGACTTTGACCCGTTTTAAGACCTGCTCGACATCCAAATCCATTCGAGCTCGAAGATCCTTCACAGCTTTAGCACTGTGAGCTGCCTTGGTCTCTTCATTCGATTATTGCGACCTCTTGAACACATGCTCAACCACTTTCATATCGCCCTTCACATTGTCTACATCCCCGAAGAACTCATCGAGGTTCACCGCCTCTCAGTCATCCAAGTGAACCTGCTTCTTGAGATCTGAATATCTCTTGAATGAACTAGAGATAAGATCATTCATTTCTTCGGCCTCGATGAACTTTCCTCCCCGAATCTGCTGTTCCTGCTATAAGCTAAGTTCTAAGGAGAAAACGGTGACTAAAACGCAAGCCCTTCATCAATGGAGGCGCACTAAGGTATACGTTTTGGTAGAGCACAAATTATTTAAAACTTCAGCTTTTGCGACTAACCGAATCAACATGGATAGGGTAGTTATTATAGTTATTATATTCTGCAATTAACAGGCTAGCAACAATACATAAAGAAAAAAAAAGACAAATTTAAGTTATTTGTACATAAAAAAGGGACAATTAATGTGGTAATTATTTTAAACCATATAAATTTGTTCATTTTCTCCCTATTTGTAGAAGTCTGTGAATGAAAAGTCAAGGAAATATTTCTCATGCTACTTCTTGTATCTGCCTTTGCTGTGAATTGAGTCCAATAATATAGCACATTAAGCTCCTCTCCTGAATCTGCAAGATTTAACATCAAATGATGATCATCATACTCATAAATATAATCTACCAAAATATATATGGTTATACGATGGTGTTACGCGTTATGATTTTTCGACTTAATCGATCTAGTAGTTTTACCTCTAGGATAGATATCATCCTGAAAAGTTCGATGCACTCCTGTAGCAATAGCTTTTCCTGTGTAACCACCTCTGCTAATTCCGAAACTAACGACACGGTCTTCTCTATCTGAAACACCATTTGCAGGGTAAGGGTCATTTAAAAAGCTACGCGGATTACTAGTTTAGCATATATAAAAATGTGAAACATCTCCATACCCCTGGTGAGGAAGCAATCAGCATCGACTTGATGGATGCAGCGAGATCGGACGCAAGTCGAAGTGCCATCGAAGCTGATTGTGTGTCGACCTGTGCTCCTTCCACAAGAGGCACTTTGCAAACAACAGCGTGCAGAGATTCTTTAGTCATGGAAATGGCTGATGAGTGTTGCCTTTCCATATCTGCCCAGGATTCCAATGCCTTCATCTGCAGATATGATTAACGAATTCGACTTAGAGCATAATTATATAACCATTCTATTGTAAGTATGATTAAAGCTGTTTTATTAGGCACTGACTTGAGATTGAAGTATAAAGTCCAGCTTGATCTCAAGCTTTTCCTTTTGAAGCTTTAATTTCTTCTGTAGCACTGAATGTTGCAGTTTCATAACACTATTCCACCCATATAACAGAGAGTTCTGCAAAAATCAATAAAGAATTAAGTTTTAACTGATGTGTGGTAACAACAAGACATACAGACATGCATGCATACCTGAACTTGATTGTTTATGCTAGTACTCGCGGCATCGGCTTTAGCGTTTGCATACCGCCATTGAATCAAGCCGTTATGGATCAATCGTAGATGATGGACACTTTCGACATCACCTGAACCCGGTTGCAGAGCTGATGACTTCTTACTCTTGAACAGACCCATTAATCCCAGATTCAAGAATTTCTCCACACCTTTGGTCCTGGAAGGACTAGTAGGCGGTTTCAAGTTCGAAAACGACATCGGTTTGGCCTTGTTTTCAACCGACACTGTAGGTGACTCCCACCGCCCTGGCGACAACGCCCACTGCGACGTTGAAGCACCTTGTGAATTAGTCCTCCGTATGACATTTTTAATGGCGAACCTTTTATTCATCTTGGGAGAACTATCAGCTGAAACCGGATGGAGATTACTTGAATCCCAAGTAATTCCTCTCGATCTATTCCTCGTTGCCTCCTCTTTCAAATACTTGGAAGATACCTCTATCCCATATTTTCTCGAACTCGACGAAGAATTAGTTATGGTTAAAGCTGGAGAACCAATTTTCGATGCCGAACATTGATCACTAATCTCCCCTTCAGAATCAACAACACAATTATCGGTCAAAAAATCCGGTTTCCACTGAGAAGAAGACGACGATGACGATTTTTTATAAAGAGCATTCTCGTCAACAGAAAATCTCCCGGGCACAATATTCGGAGAAGAAGAAGACGATGTCGAGGAAGACGTCGATGATGACGATTTTCTCGAAAAACCCGGTTTCATCGTATACCTCATGGATCCACCCATGGAAGGCCTATGATTTTCTTTCGCACTAACTTCCTTGTCATTCTCAATAAACCTACTGAACTCAGTATGACTCGTTTGCTTGGTGAGTGAAAAGGGTTGGGGATCTGTTCTTTTCTCGTAGCTTTTCCGCTCGATGAAATCTTTTAGCCTCTCGTTTCCAAGATAATCGGCCAAAGTATCAAGCTTTTTCGAGTTTGAAGAAGAAGAAGTGTTAGTAGGGGCGGTGGAAGAAGGCCACAGGCCTCCAAGTAACCCACCGGAAGGGTCATCAAGGCTGCGGTGCTGCTTTCTGGTATCCAGGGAGGTCGACTTACGGCGGAGAGGGGATAAAGCTTTGCTCGGAGAGTGGTGGCCGGAATCATGGGTGGGTGTCGAAGAAGGCGAAGAAAGGAACCGAGAGGCAACCTCACGGGATTTCGATCGTCGGGGCTTGACGGGTTGCTCCGACACAGGTGGCTCACCGGCGTTGTTCATGGTTTGGGAAACTTCCCCGATTGATTACGGAGAAAACTGGGAATAGATGTGTGCGTGCTCGAGATGGAAAAAGATGAGAAGAAAAACAAACATTCGAAAGTGGCGGCAAAGCAGATACGTGATTTGAGATTATATTAAGATTATGTTTAGAGTTTTGCCGGCGAGTGACAAGGGATTCTTATATTATCTCATTTAACCATCACCGTTGGAGTTTTTGAAAAAAATGAACAAATTTTACCTCAAACTAACAGACAAGAGTGGAACAGTGTGATGTTTTGGGCTGGTGCCGGCGATCTGGAAACTGTGCCATTTGGCTTAATAACTCTTTTAAAACGGGTAAAGTACTCAAATTATCATTTTAATTAGAGTTATTTGTACTATATGTCCTCAAACTAAGACTCTTATTTTAAATTGGTCTCTAAGCTTTTGAAAATTCTAATTTCATTCATCAACTATTACTCTCATTCTAAACTAGTCCCTAAAATTTTGAACATTTTAAATCCATCCTCAAACTATAACCTTTATTCTATAATAATTCCTAAACTTTTGAATATTCTAATTTTATCCCCAAACTTTTGAATGATTTAGGGGGAAGTTACTAGAATGTTCAAAAGTTTAAGGACTAATTTAGAACGAGGGTCATAGTTTGTAGATGAAATTGAAATGTTCAAAAGTTTATAGACCAATTTAGAATGATAATGAGGATGAATTTACAATTTAATAAGTTAATATATATATAATTCGGGTCACGGTTATCTGGATCACAATTTTTTTCTTTAAATTATATTATTTTTAAAAGAATTATAAAAAAATTCTAAAATTTAAAAGTCTATATATATATATATATATATATATATATATATATATATATATATATATATATATATATATATATAATCCACACATAAATTTCAAAAATTCAAATTACATAATTAAAATAAAATTTATTAAAAATTAAAATAAAAAATATAATTAAATTTCAAATGTTTTGAAGTTAAAATAAATATTTTAAAAAATAATTTAGAACGTTAATGTGAAATAATTTAATAAATGCTTAAAGGTAAAAAAGGTGTCCAACGTATGTCTGTTTTTTTAGTTTGGTTTCTAACTTTTTTTCGTTCTAGTCTGGTGCCCAACGTTTCATTCTATAACTCAGTTTGGGTCAGGCCATGACAGGCCGTTAATTTCGGCTGTTAAATGCCACCTGACATGGGTATAATATTAAAAAATGAATTTTCTAATTAAAATAATAACTAATTAATTAATTGAAATTGAAAAATTAAAAAATTAAAAAAAGAGATAAAAATCTTTTTTTACCTTTAACCCTAAGTAATTTTCCCCTCTTCCTCATCACTCTCTTCCCATTCCTTCTTCACCATTTTTCTAAAATTGAAGTCAAGAACCCTAAATTAGTTATTGAAATCTACATATAGCGAGTGAAGGATGTCAAGTGAAAGTTCAAGGCCTCGTAACGGTTCAAGGGTCATGGAATATCATTGTGGAATGAAAGCTCTCATTTAGATTTCTAATAAACAATGGAGTAAAGGGAAATTTTTTTATGGGTGTTGTTAAACGAAAGAGGTAAGTTTTGATTCAGTCATAATTTTTTAGTGTTTGTTGACTTATTAGCCTAATAATTTTATTTTTTATACTACAGAATCGGTGTAATTTTTTCCAGTGGTTAGATAATGAATGTATTAATGAAGACTTAAAATTTCAATTGGAAATGTTGATGACCGAAAATAGAAATTTGAAAAATGAAAACCAATAATGGAAGGAAATGTACAAAGAGGAGGACAAATGCTTTATTCTATAAGATAACATTCTTTACTTCTTGGATAGTGTACTTCATGGTGAAATTTGGTCTTTAGATGAATGATGGAAGTGTTGACAATTGAAATGTTGGTGTAGTTGAAGGAAATTGTAGTTGTTATGTATAATTTGGTATTTGGATAGTGGTGTAGTTGAAGGAAATTGTAGTTGTTGTAATGTTGGTATGACAATTTTTATGTTAGAAGATAAAAGTATTAATATGTTGTTATGGAAATGTTATGTTTTGTATATGGAAATTAAATGTTAGCATATGTTTGTGTTGCATTGATACATAATCGAATGTTAGCATAAGTATGTAAATAGTTGGAAAGTAATAGGAGCAAAAGAAAAATTTTCATATATTGAAGTAAACTGTCCATAATAATTAGATTACAAAATAATTGCATATATCTAAACAAAATGAAATGTCAATTGCCCAAAAGTTCACATGAGTAAACAAAGTCAAATAAACAATTTCATGTGACTAAAGACAATGTAACACAAAACACAAAAGAAATAAAAACTTCATTCTAAGGTCTCTAAATGGTTGGTTTAGGGAGAGGCCTTTTGATGGGAAGATATGGCCTGTTGATGGGAAGCTTTGGCAATCTTTCTTGTAGATCAATGTTGGAAGTTTCCATTGAAGGTGACGGAGAAGATGTTGAAGGTGGTTTTGTTATTGTACCACTTGAACTTTGCATCGTGGCTGCAACAGATGACCTTGTGTTAGGTCGAGAAATGAACACTTGACTTTATCTTCCTAACTGTTAAAATGAAAGCAAATATGAGAAGTTGTTTACAATTAAAGTTGTTTAGAATTAGAATTACTTACATTTAAAATTTGTAGTTCTGTTGCATCATTTGTGTACATGTCAATCCCTTGCATGATTATTCTGCCCCTTGGGGTTCATGTGGTGTAACATGATGTCTAGGGGGAAGGGATTTTCTATTTACTGTCACTCTCTTCTTTCTAGGTGTAGAGGTTGTAGGTGGTTGAATAGTTGAAGTAGGCATGAACCTTATTTGCAAATCAATTGCTGTTGACAGTGGTGGTGCTTGTGGTATTGAATCAGGGGGTGTTGAAGCTGCTACTGTAAAACCAAGGGGTGTGGAGGTTGTTAGTGTAGAAAAAAGGGTTGTAATGGTTGTTGGTGTATAAAGAGATGGTGTTGAAGTAGTCCATATTGAAGTTACTACTGGTGGGACTTGGTTTTCCTTAAAAAACAATAATTATAATACATAGATTCAAATTATTAAATTAAACAAAAGAATGAAAAACCAAACTTACATTGTATTGGGTTTTTTTTTATGGACAAGTTCTTAAATTGTGTCCAGTCTACCCACAAACTTTACAATTCATTTTCATTCCAACCATTCTTATCTTATTTCCACTGATGTTGCTAGTGTTTTAGCTTTTCAGTTCACCTTCTTCTCTTCTCCGTTTATGCTTTTGTCTTCCATACATTTTTGTTTTAAAAGGTGGATCAGTCTTGGGCATTTGTGTGTCTTTCCAATATTTTTCACTTGGAATACTAGGAAGAACAACATTGTACAATGCTTGATAAATCTCAGTTTTATATAGAATAAGTACATATAATTCCAACTGCTCTTCTCTATACAGTATTACACACACACACCATGAGGGCATGGTATTCCCGTGAGATCCCACCCTCTACAAGTACATTTTCAGCCCCTAACATCAACTACAAATGTGTCCTCATTTTGTAAAACTTCATATCCTGCAGCCCCATTTCATATGACATGACAACTAGAACTCAATTTCTTATGTTCTTCCAATTTTCTTGTAAACTTAGGACATATGTCACCATTCCACCTAAGTGACTTCTTCTTGTGATCAACAACTTTGTGCATCACATAGTTCCTAATATCATCTAACATAAAAATTATTGACTTAAATCTAGCCCCTAATTCAAAGAACAACTTACCAGTCTTCTTAGATACAAAATCCCCATCTGAATCAGTCTCATAACTCCCAACATCATAAGAATGCAAGTAAACAATATCCTCCCCACTGTTTTCACCTCATAAATCTATTGAACAGTTACTCCCTAAAAGCTACCTCATTTTCTTCTGTTGAGCCCAAATCAATTCTTTTGTTTTTACTTGGTAAATCTTCCCCATTTACTTATGTTGAGCCCAAACAATTACCTTATTCCTCATGATCTGCTGCACCCAGATCTGCATTTTCAGAATCTTCATTACCCTCTCCAACACCTAAATTAACAGCAGTTTCTAAGTCTAATGCAGTGACAATGTTGTTTTTTATCTTCCTTTTCATAAACTTGAAGTTCTTTCTAGTGGAAGTTATCTCATCATCATCATAATAATCAAATAAGGGATAATATCCACCTACCTCTCAACTCTGCTCTTGGGTATCATAAATCCCCTCATTACTCTTTTCATCTCTCAACCCATCAATGCCAGTAGGCCCAATAGGCCCACTGCCAACATTTTCACTACCTTTGGATGTCATATTCTAAATTTGGATAACCTAAAAATATCAATACAGTTAACAGATAATAGACAAAATAATTTAACTTAACATAATTATAACATGTTCTGGTCAAACTAATATTTAACAAACAAAATCAAATAACCACAAGTCAAATAACCAATATTCATTATATCTGTCACAAACCAAATAACCAATATGCGTTATATCTTTCATTAACAAACCAAACTACAATATTTTCATAGATAATAAACATGTTATGATCAAACTTAAATTCATTAATATTCTTTAACACAAAGCACAAGACCTGTTGCTTATTTAAATATTATTTATATATACTTAAAAAAATATTTTACTATTTTTTAAAAAAAATATGCAGAAGAAGAAAAAAAAGTTACATTTGTTGATAAAATTCATAATCAACAACACCAAAAGCACCAAAAGTGCTTCAACTTTATGTATCCTTCAAAAGTTTCATTGTCAAAATCAAAATATTTTACATAGTATTAAACTCCAAGGAATCAATGTCATTTGTTTACCATTAAAATCAAACCTTTGTTGATCAAAGGGAACAAAATCAACGACAATCAACTTTATGTATCCTTCAAAAGTCACGCTGCCAATGTGTTTTATAGAAAACCAAAAAGGAATCGATAAGGGTTGTAACATCATTTCCTTAATATTAAAATCAAAATCAGACATAAACTTCATTTTC